ATCCTCACAATCATTGTTATGCTTGAGCCCTTTGTTGCAGCCGTTGTGTCAATCCATCTCATTGAGGGTATTCCTCTTTTTCACTGACCTTCTACTTTACCAAGCAGGATGTCCTTCTCCAGGGACTAATCCCTCCTGATAACATGTCCCAGTATGTGAGATGTAGTCTCGCTGTCCTTGCTTCTAAGGAGCATTCTGGTTGTGCTTCTTCCAAGACGGATTTGTTTGTTCTTTTGGAATATGGTATATTCATTATTCTTTGCCAACACCACAACTCAAAGGCCTCAATTCTTCAGTCTTCCTTATTTGTTGTCCAGCTTTTGAATGCATATGAGGTGATTGAAAACACCATGGCTTGGGTCAGGTGCACCTTAGTCTTCAAGGTGACATCTTTGCTTTTCAACACTTCGTAGAGGTCTTTTGCAGCAGATTTGCCCAATGCAGTGCATCGTTTGATTTCTTGACTGCTGCTTCTCTGGGTGTTGATTGTGGATCCAAGTAAAAAGAAATCCTTGACAACTTTAATCTTTTCTCTGTTTATCGTGATGTTGCTTATTGGTCCAGTTGTGAAGATTTTTTTTTTTTGTTGAGGTGTAATCCATACTGAAGGCTGTAGTCTTGGATCTTCATCAGTAAGTGCTTCAAGTCCTCTTCACTTCTAGCAAGCAAGGTTGTGTCATCTGCATAATGCAGGTTGTTAATGAGTTTTCCTCCAATCCTGATGCTACTTTCTTCTTGTAGTCCAGCTTCTTGGATTATTTGCTCAGCATGCAGATTGAATAGGTATGAAAGGTTACAGCCTGGACGTACACCTTTCCTGACTTAAAACCACACAGTATCCCCTTGTTGTGTTTGAACGACTGCCTGTTGATGTATGTACAGGTTCCTCATGAGCATAATTAAGTGTTCTGGAATTCCTATTCTTCTGAGTGTTATCCGTAATTTGTTATGATCCACACAATGTGATGCCTTTGCATAGTCAATAAAACACAGGTAAATAAAGGTATTCTCTGCTTTCAGCCATGATCCATCTGACATCAACAGTGATATCCCTGGCTCCACATCCTCTTCTGAATCTGGCCTGAATTTCTGGAAGTTACTTGTCGATATACTGCTGCAGCTACTTTGGAATGATATTCAGCAAAATTTTACTTATGATATTAATGATATTCAATAATTTCCACATTTTGGTTGGATCACCTTTCTTGGGAATAGGCATAAATATGGATCCCTTCCAATCAGTTGGCTGGGTAGCTAGCTGTCTTCCAAACATTTTGACATAGCCAAGTGAGCACATCTGGGGCTGCATCGCTTTGTTGAAACATCTCAATTGGTATTCCATCAATTCCTGGAGCCTTGTTTTTCCCCAACGCCTTCAGTGCAGCTTGGACTTCTTCCTTCAGTACTATGGGTTATTCATAACGTTTTCACTGGCTAATTCTTTTCAAAAGTAGACTGCTGGGTCCTTCTTAGCCTGTCAGTCTGGAAGCTCAGCTGAAACCTAGTCTGTCGTGGGTGACCCTGCTGGTATTTGAATACCAGTGGCATAGCATCAGCATCACAGCAACACACAAGCCCTCACAAGACTGACAGACACGTGGGGGATGTTTGGTAACTGTTTAACTGAAGCGTAAGGAAGTTGTTTGCTCCTCATTTTTAAGTAATCTGTAAAATTGTGGGTTCTGTTTCTAAGCATGTATTTTTGTATCCCTTGTCTTAACCTAACCACATAACCAGTTCTCAGATCAAAAGCCCTCTTGAGTTCCTTGTCAGTCACTATTCTCTACCCCTGTCGTGTCCATAGTAACCACTAACCTGACTCCTAACAACGTAGATTAGTTTTGCCAGTTTTTGTATTTTATGTAAATGAATTCAGTATGTACACGTTTGTGTCTGGGTTCCTCAACATTGTGTGAGATTCAGTGATATTGTTACATGGCAGTAGTGGAAAGTTAATTGTCATTATTGTGTAGTATTCCTTTGTGTGGATAAGTAACACCGGGTTTATCCCTTCTACTCTTGATGGACATTTGGGTAGTTTTCGTTTTGGACTAAGTAGTGCTATTGTGATCATTCTCTTATACAGGCAGTCCCTGGGTTACCAACCTCTGACATACAACCCGTAGTTACGAACCCATTCCCATAAAGCCGATTATATTAAAAATTCGAGATATGTACTGTGGTTCATAATAACAAATGGGCACTACTTTGCGACATGCATTCAAAATTATTATTACTGTATCATGTTAAAGATGTTTTTGTGTATCTGGAAGTGTTTCTTTAAAGTTTTTATGCATAGAAAGGTATACTGTATACTGAGACATACATTTGACTAATGTTAGATAGGAACTATACCTAACTGTTCCGACTTATGTACAAATTCGATTTAAAGACAGCCTTAGGAATGGAACTTGTTTGTAATCCTGGGACTGCCTATATATCTTCTGGTGTAAATATGTAAACAAACTGTTGGGTATATGTTTAAGAGTGAAATTACTGGATCATAGGCTAAGTGTATGTTCAGCTTTAGTAGATCTTGCCAAACAGTTTTCTAAAGTGGTGGACACCAGAGGTACATGAGAGTTACACTATAGGCATTACTTCACCCATAGTTCTGTAAGTTGTCCTCCAGAGTGCTTTTTTCTAATTTACTTACAAATTACTACATTTGATTTTTCATATTTCTAAGAAATAGGGCTGAGATATATGAGAGTTACACTATAGGCATCCTCACCAACACTTGGTACCATATTTTCATTTTACCTCTTTTGGTGGGTGTATAGTGGTATGACATTGTGGTTTAATTTTACATTTCCCCAGTAACTAGTGAAATTCATCACCGTTGCTATGTTTTTTGGCCATTTGGTCATTAGTTTTTATGATGTGCCTATCCATATTCTTTTCCCATTTTTCTATTGAGTTGTCTGTCTTTTTTGTTTGAGTTCTTACATATTTTTGATATGAGTTATGATGGCTTGACTTTTCATCCTCTTAAGGTAGTCCAGCTTAACATTTTTCTTTTTATGATTAGTGCTTAGTGTCCTGCCTATAAAATCTTTGCCTACCCCAGTGTCATGAAGATTGATCTCCAATTGATTTTTTCTAAAAGCTTTATTGTTTTTACCTTTCACGATTAGATCTACAGAACATGTGGAATCGGTTTTTGGATATTTTGTGTTTAGGGATCAAGTTTGTCTTCCCTATATGGTTATCTAGTTCTCTAGCATCATTTCTTGAAAATACATCTTCCCCCACCGTGAACTCTGTCATCTGTGTTACGATTCAGGTAACTGTACAAATGAGTCGATTTGTGGAGTCTCTGTTGCAGTGGTTGGTTTGTCTTGCATCACTCAGAGCTTCATAACAGATCTTAATAATTCAGATAGTACAAGCCTAGTTTATCCTCATTATTGCCTTTACTATGATTGGACCTTGCCTTTTTCACACGTATTTCAGAGTTAGCTTGCTGATTTCTTTAAAAAATGTTATTTTGATCTACTTTCTATGGTTTAATTTTTCTTGTTCCAGATTTTATATAAGGAACCCCAGTGGTGAAATGGTTAAGCGCTTGGCTGCAAACCTAAAGGTTGGCAGTTCAAACCTACCCAGCAGCTCTGTGAGAGAAAGACCTGGCAATCTGCTCCCATAAAGATTACAGGCTAGGAGACCCTACGGGGTAGTTCTGTTCTCTCACATTGGGTCAGTATGAGTTGAAATTGACTTCATGGCACCTAACAGCAACAGATTTTATATAAATGGAGGACTACCGGTGCTGTTTGTTGTGGCTGGAAACTCTAGAGAAGGAACAGGTTTGTGTGGGATGTTTAGTGGTGGCTGTTAGCAGGCAGTGGAAATATGTCTGGAGTTCAGATGTGGGGTTAATACTGGAGCATGGGTGTTAGGAGATGGTTGTTAGGTGCCGTCGAGCCTGTTCCATCTCATAGGGACCTTATGTACAACAGAATGAAACACTACCTGGTCCTATGCCATCCTCACAATCGTTGTTATGCTCGAGCCCATTGTTGCAGCCACTGTATCAGTCTGTTTCGTTGAGGATCTTCCTCTTTAGCTGATCCTGTACTTTACCAAGCATGATGTCTTTCTCCAGGAGCTGATCCCACCTAATAATACGTCCAAAGTGTGTGACGTAGTCTCGCCATCCTTGCTTCTAAGGCACATTCTGGCTGTACTTCTTCCAAGATAGATTTGTTCATTCTTTTAGCAGTCCATGGTGTATTCAGTATTCTTTGCCAACACCACAATTCAAAGGCATCAGTTCTTCTTACGTCTTCCTTATTCATCGTCTAGCTTTCGTGTGCATATGAGGTGATTGAAAACACCATGGCTTGCTTGGGTCAGGCACACCTTAGACTTTAAGGTGACATCTTTGCTTTTTAACAGTTTAAGGTCTTTTGCAGCAGATTTGCCCAGTGCAATGTGCCATTTGATTTCTTGCCCGCTGCTTCCATGGATGTTGATTGTTAGGAGATAGAGATGGGAATTAAAGTTAGAGAAATGGCCGTGGTTGCCTTGGCAGGACATAAAGAGTATGAAACACTTCCCAATTATTTAGGTCTTAGATTTCTCTCAGCAGTGTTTTATAGTTTGTATCGTCAAGGTCTTGCACAGCTTTCATTTGGTTTATTCCTAGGTACTTGATATATTTTATGCGATCATGAACGGAATTGTTTTAAAGTTTCATTTTCCTGTTCTTTGCTAAAGTGCCTTTTAAAGTCATGATTACTGTGAAGTGAAATGCAAGATTATTTGCTGGAAGTAGGACATTGCTAAGAATGTTTGAGGTTTAGAAAAACCCTAGCAAGATTTTGACATTGTCTTAGGGCGATTGGATTGCCCAGTATGCTTTTCCTTAGTGTAGATGCCCCTTCGAGGTCAGTGACTTTGAGTTTCTCAAGGTACCAAGTGACCAACTGATCTTCCCAAGTATCTTCAGGGAACAGGTTGGAATCATCCAGGACTTGTTTTGTTTTGTTTAACAGGGGTGATAATAGGCAGAGGGACAAAGGAATTTGGCCGAATAACTTGTTGAAGATCGTGATGAATCTGAGCTGGATAAGTGGAGCAATGAGAAGAGGAGGTGGGTGTTGGGAAGTGAGATGGTAGAAGCATGGGTAGCCTGGGATCCTCTCCAGTGGGAGAGTTAATGTGAAAAGAAGGCTATGAAGAAGGTTTTTCCAGAGAGCAGATTTCTGAATCATTATCTGGGAGGTAAAGCAGATTCCAGTGATGACAAAGTCTGTGCTGTGGCAAAGGGCATGTATGGCTGTTGTAGAGTGTAGGGGGCAGAGGGCATTGGAGATGGGACCCTCCTCATGGATACTAGGGGCATCCTAAATGATGGCAGGGATTAAGAACAGAAGTCTGGACTAAAATTTTTAATGAGTGAGGGAGTTCAACATAATTGTCAAATCACTTAGGAAGAGTGAATCCTGAATCTTAGTTGAGGTAAGCCAGGGACCCCCACCACTCCGCTTGGAGGTTTTTTTGTAGGTAGAATGAAGGTCCCAGATAGATAACTTGCTGCTCAAAAGAGGAAATACTGAAAAACATAAAGCTAAGACTTGTCCTCAGTATGCAGATAGATGGAAAGCCTTTGACTAGCTCTGTTACTCTTTTAGGAGCCATGGTGACACAATGGTTAAGAGCTGGGCTGCTAACCAAAAGGTTGGCCGTTCAAATCCACCAGCTTCCTCCTTGGAAACCCTGTGGAGCAGTTCTGCTTTGTCCTGTAGGGTCTCTATGAGTCGGAATTGACTAATGGTAACGGATTTTTTTGGTTACTCTTTCTTTCACTTTAACTACAGATGCCTGCTTGGAGAGGACTGAGAGTAAGAAGAGGAGCTTCCTGAATCTCCCACTTCCTGGATCTTGGGCAGATTTCTTGGCATTTTCACAGGATGGCAGCTCCAGATCTGTCTTCCACATTTGGTATGTTCTTGAGTCAGTACATGCCCTCAGAAATTGAGCTTATGTGACCCCTGTTGCACAGAGGAGTCACTGAGCTAAAGGGGACATGCAGCCGTAGGGAGCGCTGCCTAGGAAGGTTTGGTGAACTGGAGAGAGGTAGGAGCAAAGCCACGGGGCCCCCGGGTGATTTGTGTTCCATTTGGGGTCTTTGTGGATTTGGGAAAAGGAAGGGAGTATGTGTGCTTGGTATGTGAGGAAGGGTGGGCAAACGGTGAGTCACTTGACATTATCTCATTTATTACTTTAAATAAGCATGAGCAAAGTAACAGTTCTGCCTCTCAGAACTTCAATTTCTTCACCCATAAATTGTGACTATATATCACTTCTTCATCGCCCTATTTTCTGTCCTTGAGTGGCGCAGGGCTGCTCTGACGTCTTACAAAACATTCCGCACGTGTCTCTGTGAGTATATGTTTATATGTGTACATTTGTGTGTGTGTTTGGGGGTGTGGATGCTCATGGTTAGTGTGGGGCAATTTCCTGATTTGTGAGTGTTGCGATGTTGGGCAGGCTTTGGTTCTCATGGATCCTCTCTTCTCCTCTAGCCGTGTCTACCCTGGACCCTGCTTTTCTCCAGGATTCAGAAATTCCTCTTTCTTCGGAAGACCATTCCTGTCCCCAGAGTGTGGACCTGTTTCCTTGCAATGACCTGGAGCCTCAAATGCCCACCAGGGCTCGGTCCCAGGTACACCAAGATCTCAGGGCTCTTGATGGTAGGCGAGGCACTGCCCTAGAAGGCCCCAACTACTGCATGCTGAGGACTTCTTTCAGTTCTTCATCCAGGTTGAATGACGCCTCATCAGGGTACAAGTGAAAGAGCCAAGGAATGTTGTGAGGCTGTTCTGGAGTCGGGAACATTAGAGGAAATGATATATGTACCAGGTGCTTGCAGAAAGCTCAGGCCCATGCTCAACCCTGGAGATGGAGCTAGAAGCTCTTAGACCAGGCTAGAAGTGGAGAGAGAGATTTGGTCTTGTGTCAGAGGTGCATCTGAAGCAATGAGACAGGACGAGATCACCTCATGGGGAAGGGAAGACTCTGAGGACTGACTTCTGGAGTAAAAACTGAGACCCTAGAACCCTGTCTGAAAATCCTGCGTATTGAGTTTCTCATGCCCAGTCTTCAGCCTCAGCTATATTTCCTGTGAACATCGAAAGGCTGCCTTCTCACTGACCCAGAATGTGTGTGATGTTTTAGGAGTCGGTGACTTTCCAGGATGTTGCTGTGGACTTTACTGAGAAGGAGTGGCCCTTGCTGGATTCTTCTCAGAGGAAGCTGTACAAAGACGTGATGCTGGAGAACTATAGCAACCTCACTTCAGTGGGTAAGGCTGGCATCATTTCTTCATTTATCCGTTCACAAATTCAGTGGTTTCTTATAGCACTTGCTGTGACCCAGGACCTTTTTAGGATTGGAAACACAGTTGTGAACAAGCAGGACTGGTCCCTGCCCTCATGGTGTCTCGCCATGAATATTGAGTCCTGTCCATTGCATGGACTTTGGAGGTTGTCACTTGTGTGTCTGAACTTGAATGGGGGTTTCTGAGATAAGAAACCCCATTCATTTGAAGGGCTAAATGTGTGGACATTTGTGTTTTGTTTTTTATGAAAGACCTTTACTGTGTTGTTTTAGAAATTTGGCACCACCATTTTGCTGCGCCTAAATCAGACTTGTCCATCTTCACTAAACGTGTGTTGACTTCAGTGTAATGGAAGTGGTTGTTCTCTGCAAAGTCCTCCCTCAACACGTGTCTTTCCCTGTGAGTAGGATATCAGCTTGGCAAGCCCAGCCTCATCTCCCACTTGGAGCAAGAAGAGTTGCTGAGGACGGAAGAGAGGGGATCTCACCAAGGCACCTGTCCAGGTGAGCACCAGTCAAATGGGCGTGTGCGTTTGAGTATCAGCTCTATGCCGTGATTGTGGTGATGTACGTGGCGAGGAAATAACAACCAGGAAATTAGAAACTGCCTTTTACTCTTTCACTGCCCATGCCTTCTCTCACAAGTACTCTGGTCTAAGTACCCCTCATCGTTTAAATTCGATGTTTTTATCCCATTCTTTCATGGTTGACATTTCTGATCATACTGTCTTTTAATATCAGTGCCAATCTTTGAAGAATTATTTCTTACTGAATTGCGTTAAATTTCTGCCCCTATCATTACATAGTGGTTCAATGCTTGGCTGCTAACCCAAAGGTCTACAGTTCAATGAGAGAAAAGACCTGGTGATCTGCTTCTGTAAAGATCTCACTTCTGCTCTGTCCTGTAGGGTCTCTATGAGTTGGAATCACCTTTACGGCAATGCGTATCATTACACATATGTCTCACACAGCCAAATTCTTAACAGTTCATTTTTGCTTGTGTGTGTGTGTGTGTGCGCGTGCGATTGCGAGCGTGCGCGCGTGCATGTACCCCTTTCACATTACTTTTCCATGTTTAGGGTTAATATTTTAAAAAAAAAAAAATCCACCTATTTTTCACCATCATCCCAGTGTTTTCTTTTTCTAGCAAGTTAATATTTTTCCATTTTGTTTCAGATTGGGAGATTCCATCTAAAACAAAATGGTCAATTCTTCTGGAAGATATTTTTGGGAAGGAACTGTCCAATGGTGTGACAGCGGTAAGAATTTCTTGGGATAATACCTGATCTTCCGCATTAGGAGAAAACTGGGGCTGCTTTAAGTTAGAAAACAGCTCAAGAGCCAGGCGAGTCACTTGAGGCAAATGACATATCCCAGGAGGAAGCATTGTCTCAGAGACAATATTATCAGCTCAGGGGAATATCTTAAACCTAGCCCCATACTTCTTCACTTAGAGCTCCAAGTAAATAGCTCCATAACCGTGTCTCAGATATTGAGCGATAGGCTCAATTCAGTTTTGAACGATTACCAAATGCTATACGTAATAAGCCTTGTAAACATAACGTGTAATGGAGCCGTATGGCATAGCATTCACCTGTCCTAACTGATAGAGCACAAATGGAACAGGAAGAGAACATTTGCACTGCAAATGATAACATCTTTAGTCATAATGATGTGCTTTGTTCCTATTCGTATTGGTTTATATGGGGGAGAATTCCTGGAAATGTAATTAGTATAGGAAATGCTTTACTCAGCACTTTTATCTCTTTAATCAACAGGAAAGAACTGGGCTTGGTGAGAAACCCACTGAATATGCTCACTTTTTTGATGTCTTCAGTGTGGGGGCTCATCTTACTCAGCAAATGGGAAGTCGCAATGGGAAGAGGCCCTATCACCTCCGTGACTATGGGGCAGCCTTCAAAGATGGCTCACATCTCACCCAAAACATGGGCATTTATGGTGGGAGAAACATGTATGAATGCCATCAGTGCCAAAAAGCCTTCACCACAAGGTCTTCCCTCACACGCCACAGGAGGATACACACCGGGGAGAAGCCCTATGAATGCAGTGCCTGTGGGAAAGCCTTCAATGATCCTTCAGCTCTTCGGAGTCATGTGCGAACTCACACCAAAGAGAAGCCCTTTGAGTGCAGTCAGTGTGGAAATGCATTCCGCACCCTGTCTGCCCTGAAGATACATATGCGAATTCATACCGGGGAGAGGCCTTATGAGTGTGACCAGTGTGGGAAGGCCTATGGCAGGAGCTGCCACCTCACTGCACACAAGAGGACACACACTGGAGAGAGGCCTTATGAATGTCATGACTGTGGGAAAGCTTTCCAGCACCCTTCACACCTTAAAGAACATGTCCGGAATCATACTGGGGAGAAACCCTATGAGTGTACACAGTGTGGCAAAGCCTTCCGCTGGAAATCTAACTTTAACTTGCACAAGAAAAACCACATGGTAGTGAAAACATATGAATGTAAAGAGTGTGGGAAAGTCTTTGGTGATGTCATATCACGGAGGAAACATATGCGAATTCATATTGTCAAGAAACCTGTTATCTGTAGCAAGTGTGGAAAAGCCTTCAGAAACCAGTCGATCCTTAAGACACACATGAATTCTCACACTGGGGAGAAGCCGTATGGGTGCGATCTATGTGGGAAAGCATTCAGTGCAAGCTCAAACCTCACTGCGCACAGGAAAATACATACCCAAGAGAGGCGCTATGAATGCACCGCCTGTGGGAAGGTCTTCAGTGATTATTTATCACGAAGGAGGCATATGAGCATTCATCTTGTAAAGAAACGCGTTGAATGCAGGCAGTGTGGAAAAGCCTTCAGAAACCAGTCCACCCTTAACACGCACATGAGAACTCACACAGGAGAGAAACCATATGAGTGTGATCATTGTGGGAAAGCCTTCAGCATTGGTTCTAACCTTAACGTGCACCGGAGAATACACACTGGAGAGAAGCCGTACGAATGCCTTGCCTGCGGGAAAGCCTTCAGTGACCATTCATCCCTGAGGAGTCATGTGAAAACGCACCGGGGAGAGAAGCTCTTTGTGTCATCGGCGTGGAAGAGGCTCCAGTGAACATACTTTCTTTAAGAGAAACATGAGAGTTCAGGCTGGAAAGAAACCTTGTAGATACAAGGGAGGCGGGAAAGCCTTTATGGTCTCTCACTTTACTGGACAAAAAAGAATACATGTAACTTGGGAGAAACCCAATTTGTGTAATAACTGGGAAGATGTGTTGTTTGTCACTACTTAGGAGACCTGTGAGAACTCATGCTGGGGAGAAAATGTGTATCTGTGGTGTGGAGAAGCCTTCAGTGTACATGCAGCTCTTATCAAAATGACGTATGGAGAGAAACCCTTGCTTGGTATTTAACGTGGAAATATTTTTAGCACCACCTCTCACTTTTTGGATATAAGAGTACACACACTAGGGAGAATCTCTGTAAATGCAATGACTGGGAAGCCTTTCCTGGTCTCACTGTATTCCTCATGACAGAAATCACACTGAAGAGAAAAACCTATATATATATATATATATATATATATATATATACACACACACACACACACACACACACAAAGGACTGTGAGAAGGTCTACAGCAGGGGCCAGTAAACTGGCCCATAGCCTGTTTTTATATGGCCTACAAACTAGGAATATTTTTTTATTATTTTTAAAGAAGAAGAATGTGACCAAGACCATATGTGGCCCACAAAGCCTGAAATACTTGCTGTCTGGCCTTTACAGAAAAACTTTGCCAATCCTTGGTCTACAACAGTGCTTCTCAACAGGGGCCGATTTTGTAGTCCAGGAGACATTGGGTAATGTCTGGAGACATTTTTGGTTCTTACAGCTAGCGGGGAGGTACTACTAATACCTAGTGGGAAGACCTGAGGATGCTGTTAAAAGTCCCACAATGCACAGGAAAGAGTCCTTGGGTGGTACAAACGGTTAAGTGCTCAACTACTAACCAAAAAGTTGCTGGTTCAGACCCACCTAGAGGCGCCTTGGAAGTCAGGCTTGGTGATCTGCTTCTGAAAGGTCACAGCCTTGAAAACCCTTTGAAGTAGTTCTGCTCTGCACACATGGGGTCTCGTTGAGTTGGAATCCACGGCAACTAACAAAACAACGCACAGGAGCCCCCCCCACAGCAGAGAATCATCCTCCCTAAAGTGTCAGTATTGTTGAGGTGGAGAAACTCTGGTCTACAGTAATCCCTCAGTTTTTATAAAATGTGAGTACTAACTTGAGATGCTTTTAAAACTTTTAAATATAATTATTGTGATTCCTCTTTCAGGAAACGTGAAAACTCACTGCAGATAATTCGTGTGGACGTAGAGTGGAGATGCGTTCAGCCACGGAGCCTCAGTTCTTGTGCAGATGAAAATTCATACTGGGAGAGAATGAATTTTCCAGTGAATGAGATCACCTTTGTTAGTCTTTTATCATGAAAATGGATCCCCCAGCTCATTAATTTCCAGTCTTTTTGTTTCAGTTTTTATGTTCCTCTAAACCTTGAGCCTAATCACACAAGGTTTGTATATGGTATTTTTATTATATATACAGACTTCGTTCTTGATGTATCTTATTTCCTTTTGGATAACTTATCTAACCAATAGGATATTCAGAAGTATGTTATGTACTGTGTAATATGTGGGTATTTTTAGTACCTGTTGTTGTTATTATGTGCTATCGAGTTGGTGCCGACTCATAGCAATGCTGTGTACGACCAAACAAAATACTGCCAGGCCCTGCGCCATGCTCAAATTCGTTGTTATGCTTGAGCCCATTGTTGGAGCCACTGTGTCGATCCATCTAGTTGAGGGTCTTCCTCTTTTTCATTGACTCTCTACTTTACCCAGCATGATGTCCTCCAGGGACTGGTCCCTCCTAATAACATGTCCAAAGTATGTGAGTCAGAGTCTCGCCATCGTTGCTTCTAAGGAATGTTCTGGTTGTACTTCTTCCAAGACAGATTTTTTCATTCTTTTGGCAGTCCATGGTATAGTCAATATTTTTCACCAACACCACAATGCAAAGGCATCAATTCTTTTTTGGTCTTTATTCATTGTCCAGCTTTTGCATGCATACGAGGCAATTGAAAGTACCACGGCTTGGGTACCTTAGTCCCAAAGTGATGTCTTTGCTTTTTAATACTTTAAAGAGGTCTTTTGCAGCAGATTTGCCCAAGGCAATATGTCGTTTGATTTATTGATTGCTGCTTCCGTGGGTATTGATTGTGCATCCAAGTTAAATGAAATCCTTGACAACTTCAGTATTTTCTCCGTTTAACATGGTGTTGCTTATTGGTCTAGTTGTGAGGATTTTTATTTTCTGGTGCAATCCATATTGAAGTCTTTGATCTTTATCAGTAAGTGCTTCAGGTCCTCTTCACTTTCAGCAAGCAAGGTTAAGTCATGTATATATCGCAGGTTGTTAATGAGTCTTCTTCCAATCCTGATTGTTTGATCAAAAACATTGTGATCAGAGCATGATATTTATTACATTACGTGGACTCTCTGGTATGTTTGTGGCTTCCTGTTTGGCCAACAGTTGCATATACTTTCTAGTTGCTTCCCCCAGTATCCACTCTCATCTTCTTCCATATCAAGACAATTTGGTGTTTGTCAGGTTAATAAAGTGTGCTTTTTTTTTTTAAATTTCCATCATAGCATCCATGTGCCCCAACCAGGCCATTTGCAAGCAGAAGTCACTGTGTGGGCTTCTGGAGAGTTTTTGAAAAAGGGTCAGTCTTACTTGGATTCTTCTCTATACTTTTTTTTTTTTTCCTTTCGGTCTTCCCCCTACTCCCAACCCTGAAAAGAGATCCAGTACCTAGTGTTAAAGGATCTTTCTTGTGAACATGAGGATGAACACTACTGGATAAGGAGGACACTGCAGAAAAGTCACAATGATCATCACCTCCCCAGTGGCTTCTTTGGGTGTCTGCAATAGCCCTGGACTTGTTATTTACCAACTTCCTGTTACATGGGAAAAAATAAACTGATTATTGGTTTCAGCTGCTATGAAGATGTCATTATTTTTCTATTTAGTTTATTTATTTGGGGGGTGTTCTGCTCTGCCCACCTAGATGCTGTCCCTAACCCATATACTTGGTCGTTGGTCAGTTTTTATAACTGCTCCATGTGTGAATATAAACTGCATATACTTTAATTGTTCGATAAATCCATTGCCATCCGGTTGATTCTGACTCATAGCCACCCTATAGGACAGAGTAGAACTGCCCCTAAGGTTTCGAAAGCTGTGATCTTTACAGAAGCAGATTGCCACATCTTTCTCCCGAAGAGCACCTGGTGGGTTCAAACAGCTGACCTTTCGGTTAGCAGCTGAGCACTTAACCACTGTACCACCAAGGGTCCTTAATTGTCGGATAGGGATTTTTTTTTTAAATTCTTTAGACCAAGGTTTTAAATTGTACTTCAAATCTTTAGTGTTTTCTGTTCTTGGCCGGTTGTCTACTAAAATGTCTATCAGTTGTCACAAAAACTCTAGGAAATGGATACTGCCAACATCTCTATTTTGCATATGAGGAATCAAAGACAAAATAAAGTTTAGGTTACTTACCTGAGATCAACCTCTTAGCAAGTAGTAGTGTTTGGATTTGAACCATGGTGTCTGGCTCTAGAGTCCCTACCTACTTTGTGCCAGGTACTGTTCTATGCCTCGGGTCTATATCAGTGAATCAGGATTTTTGCAATTATGGTGCCTTACATTCTAGTTGGGGTGGGGGGGCACCTGATAAAACCCGTTGCTATCCAGTAGATTCAATTCCATCTCATAGCGACCCTATAGGACAGAGTAGAACTGCCTCATACGGTTTCCAAGGAGCTGGTGGTGGACTGGAACTGCTGACCTTTTGGTTAGCAGCTGAGCTCTTAACCACTGTGCTTTGTGTTCTGAAGCCTGGGTTTGGGATTTGGAGTAGAGTGGCCAACAAGACAAACAGGTTCCCTACCTCGAATTTCTAGTGGAGCAGTTTACTTGCAAAGGAAGATTTGTATGTTGCACTGACCTGCTTTGTAAAAACCTTGGGGATGAGGAGGGTCTCAAGTATGTGTCTGAGTTTGGCTATGGGTTTCTTGGACCAGAGATCCCCAATCCCTTTGGAGCTGTGGGCGTGGGTTGTTTGTGTTTCTTGAGAAGGTCAAAGGGTTATTGTTAACTTGGTTGTGGGGTGTGTTGTGCTCCTTGTTGAGATGGATAGCCCATTTTGCATCATTTATTAAGCAACTCATTTTTACCAACTTAATTAAAATACCACATTTGTCATATTAAATTCCTATACATACCGGGAATTATTAACTGATTAAGTCAATTCAGTATTATCTGCTTCCAGGAACTTCATAGGCACTGGTAATGTAGCAGTCAACAGGTTCATGTTCACACAGAGCTTTACATTACATGTGGGAAGTCAGAGTACAAGCAACTGTATAATAATGTGGTGATAAGTGCTATGTAGAAAAATAAAGCAGAAAAAGGGAATAGACAGATGGGATTAACCTGTCTTAGTTATCTAGTGCTGCTATGACAGAAATACCACAAGTGGGTGGCTTTTATGAACAGAAATTTATTTTCTGACAGTTTAGGACGCTAGAAGTCCAAATTCAGGGTGCTGGTTCTAGGGGAAAGTCCGTGTCTCTTTTCAACTTCTATTTCTTGGCAATCTTCGTGTGGTGTCTGTCTTCCCCTCCATTTGCACTTCCTTCTCTCTGGAACCCTGGGGGTGTGGCGTAGTGGTTAAGAGCTACAGCTGCCAACCAAAAGGTCAGTTCAAATCCACCAGCCACTTCTTGGAAACCCTATGGGACAGTTCTCTGTCCTATAGGGCTGCTATGAGTCAGTCGACTCGATGTCAACAGGTTTGGTTCTCTGCCTAATCTGTTCTTTTTATATCTCAAAGGTAATTGGTTAAAACACACCATACACTGGTATGGTTTTATTAACATAACAAAGAAACTCCTATTCCCAAATGAGATTACTTTATATCCACAAATACAGAGGTTAAGGATTATGACACACGTTTTGGGAGAATACAATTCAATCCATGTTGTTAGGTGTTATTAAGTAGTTTCTGACTCATAACAATCTTATGTATAACAAAACAAAACGTTTCCCATTCCTGCACCATCTTCACAATCCATCCATAACAACCCCCAAGCCTGTGCTGTCTATGGTGCATAATTGTTTTTGGGTGCTCCACCTTTTCAGGAAACCAGGCCTTCACAGAAATCCAAAGAAACTACTACTGTGTACATTCCAGCTTCCCGGCCTCTGGAGTAGAGGCAGGAAATTGAGAAAAAGGTTGGGAATGCTCATCGATGCGTTAACAAAGCATTTGCCTTAAGAGTAATTCCAGCTTGCTCTGTGAGACCCTGCCTCTCATTTAGTTCTCAGATTGCAAGATTTGAAAAATGCTTGCTTAGACACATCAAAATCTGACCCTTCTATTCTGATTTTCAAGGGCAGTTGGATTTGCCTTTTCTTGAATTCCATTCACTTTTATTGATTTGGCCTCCAAGGAAATCCTTTTCAGCCTTTAGCTTAAGCAACATGAGTTCCTTTGTGTGTCTTTAAGTAGCCTGTTGCTACTTTCCTGAATTCAGGATAAAAACTGACATTTAAACCAATTTAGTTACTCTTTGAGGTTCTAGATAAATCTGACTCCCAAAGAAAATTCCAACTTTGGGCCTTTGTTTTGACCTAATCTTAGTGATAATTTTTAATAGTTGTTTCTCCACGTTACCCGAGAAGATGGTGGATTTGAGCACTTTACATGGATTAACTCCAGCCCTCCCAACACTACTGAAAGCAGTCATTATCCTGGAGAAGAAAAGACAGGTGAAAAGAGTCAACTTACCAGCTGGAAACAGGAACATTAATCGAGGGTTTACTCTGCCAGTCAGCCCTCCTCCACCTCTTGACCTCAGTGCCTCTCATGCTGCTGTTAACTTGGCTGGGTGGATCAGCTGGT